CTGGAAAGGGGTGTTGCCAGGCAACTGCTCATGAGCATGGTCACCTCATGGTGGCTTTGTTGTGTTGCCACGACAGTGCAACACAGCCGTTTGCCCCTGATGCTGTGCCCGGCTCTTCGGGTGCCCACTCACAAGAGAGCAGCCACCCAGCCACCCGAAACAAATAAGCCCCCCCGATAATAAGGCCCAAGCAAAATTTGAGGGGGTCAAAATAAAATAAGACCCTGTCATATTTTCAGGGAAACATGGTAGCTGCTCGAAAGCATGTAAAGATGCAAGTAGAAAAATAGGAACCACCTTTGGTGGGAAGGTAAAAGCGTTCCGTGAGCCTTCGGTGTTGAATCATGCCGGCCACATAACCACGGAGACATCTTTGGACAGTGCTGGCTCTTTGGCTTTGAAACAGAGATGAGCATTGCCCCCTAGAGTCAGGAACAACTAGCACATATGTGCAAGGGGAACCTTTACTTTTACCTTTACCAGTATTGAAACATCTTTTTAACATTATTGTAGATAGGAATATTCTCTGAAGATCATATGAATTTCCTAAGGCTTGCTATTTGATGGAAGCATGAGAAATTCTCTGTTTATTGCATGTTCCCCAGCTCTGTGACCAAAAGGTTTGACCAGAAGGAGAGAAGAACCACAATCTTTTCTTTCATTCACCTTCAGCGTCATGAAAAGGTATAAACCATAATTCCCGTGTATGGAGGCTCCAACAGCTGCATTGCCTAGTTGTTCAATTCTTATATCTCTCAGGCAGTGATGGGTTCCTACCGGCTTGGCCGAACCGGTAGTGGTTTGGCAGTCTGGGTCGCTGGGTCACTGGAATGCCCCCAACCTGGTTCTGCTGGCAGCACCATCTTGTTTTTTGCTTCTGCGCATGTGCAAAGTGAACCGGTAGTAGTCTCTACCAGAACCCACCCCTGCTCTGAAGTGTACTTGATACTCTCTGAGCTTGCTGATTTTCCCGCAGACAATTCATTACCCAAAATAGGCAATATCATCAGTGCTAGTCCTGACAATATTCCATTGTTTGAGTATTGAGATGTCTGCAAGAAAACAAGCAAGCTCAGAGAGCACCAAGGACGACCCCTCATTTCAACCCGGAGCTACAAATATTCTCCTTTATTGGCAACTTATATATCTTTCTAAAAGCAATCTGCAAAGAAATGAGAATTATGGGAAGATCCACCTCAACAGGACTGACCTCCAGATGTGTGGGTTTAAAATACCCGTTTTCCTAGGCAGCTGGATGACCTGATAGCATTAATCTCCTAAAAAAAAGGTTAACTGCATGATTTGTTCTCATGTTGGTTTGATCTGCTTACGAGTCTTAATATATATATAAGATTTTTACAACCCCTGGTAAGCCCCAATTATGGGAGGAAGCTAACTGCTTCCATCATCTGTCCTTCGGCTCGTCACAAGTTAGTGTCACAACCCCTGGTAAGCCCCAATTATGGGAGGAAGCTAACTGCTAGCTGATGAGAGCTAGCTGATGAGAGCTAAATAGCTTGAAATAGATCTATACTAGTCTCCCTTTATTTATTTATCAGCACAAATAAACACACACACACACACACACACACACACAGTTCACTAGATGCTTGATGACTCAAATGATGCTAGACAATTGAAGAACACAAACCCAAATCCAATA